ACTCAATTGAGTGTGCATGTTATTCCATCTTTGAGCCATCTCTGATGAGATTAAGATTCAAGTTTTCCCTGCCACTTCCCCTAGTTTCCCCTCCACTGTAAAAGTTTTTTCTTGCCTCTTTTATATGAGATAATGTACCCTATTCTACCTATCCCTTTCCCTTTCTCCCAGTGCATTCCTTTTTCATGCTTTAATTTTATTTTTTTATATATTATCTTTTTATATTCAACTCACACCTGTATCCTCTGTCTATATATACTCCTTTTAACTGCCCTAATAATGAGAAAGTTCTTATGAGTTACAAGTTAGCCAACCAATGAGAGCCAGAGAGATTTGTGTTTCAGGAACAGTCCTTAAGAAAGAAATCTAAGTGATCAAATTTGCATTCCTTTGGGCATGACTCTGGAGGAGAAAGTGAGGCTAGTGACTGCACAGCTTTCCCTCACTTAAATCCAGTTCACTTGCATGTCATGGCATCACCTTCCTGATGTCACAGTCCTCTTCGAGAATGAAGGACAAACAGCAGCAGCAGCAGTAGCAGCTAGTTACAAGTATCATCTTCTCATGTACAAATGTAAACAGTTTAACTTTATTAAGTCCTTTATGATTTCACTTTCCTGTTTCCCTCTTTATGCTTCTCTTGCGTCTCGTATTTGAAAGTTAAAATTTCTATTCAGCTCTGGTCTTCTCATCAAGAGTTCCTTGAAGAATTATACTCAGTTTTGCTGGGTAGGAGATTCTTGGTTGTAATCATAGCTCCTTTGCCCTCTGTATTGCCATATTCCAAGCCTTCTGATTATTTGGTGTAGAAACTGTTAAATCTTGTGTTATCCTGACTGTGTCTCCATGATACTTAAATTGTTTCTTTCTGGCTGCTTGCAGTATTTTCTCTTTGACTTGGTAGCTCTGAAATTTGGCTATAATATTCCTGGAAGTTTTCATTTTTTCAAACCTTTTCCTCATTCCTTAAAACTTCCATAATTACTCTTCTTTCTACCTTCTCAGCTGAAAACCCTGCCTTGTATTTCACTGAAAAAAACATTGTGGTCATTCATCCTTTTTCTTCCATTCGTCGTCCCACATCACTCAAATGTCGTCTACCATTATCTCCTTCATGCCTTTTTCAAATGGAAAGACTTCTCTTCTTGCCAAGACAATCCTCTACATAAGTAAGTGATGACATTCCTTCTTACATCCTATTGCAAACTGCCCCTCTTTTCTTCCTACTCGCTAATTAATCTTCAGTCTCTCCCCATCTACTGAGTGCTTCCCTATTTTTCACAAATATACCCATATCTCTTCCATCCTCACTTGATTCATCCATCCTTACTAATTATCATCCTATATATCTTCTTCTTTTTTTGGTCTAAACTCCTTGAGAATGTTATCTGCAACTGATGTTTCTACTTCCTTTTCCCTCATTCTCTTCCTAAACTACTTTATTCTGGCTTTCAGTATCAGCATCCAACAAAAATATTCTGTCCAATGTTACCAATGATTTCTTATTTTCCAAATCTCATTGCCCTTTTTCAGTCCTCATCTTTCTTGACCTCTTAGTAGCTTCTGACACTGTCAATCTCCCTTTTTTCATGACATTGCTCTCTTTTAGTTCTAACTGCTCTTTCTCTGTCTGCTTTGCTTATTCTTCCTTCATCCAAGTCACACATGATAACCATGAATATCCCCCAAGGCTCTATCCTGGGCCCTCTTCTTCTATTTCTCTGTGCTATTTTACTTGGTGATCTTATCAACTCCTGTGATTCCAATGATCATAGCTATGTAGATGACTCTAAGATCTACTTGTCCAGCCCTAATGTCTCCCAATCTCCATTCTCACATTTCTAAATGTCTTGATTTTCAGTCATTTCAGTCGTATCTGACTCTTTTTGACCCTATTTAGGTTTTTCTTGGCAGAAGGTCAGAGTAGTTTGCCATTTCCTTCTTCAGCTCATTTTGCAGATGGGGAACTGAGACAAATAGGGTTAAGTGACTTGCTTGGGGTCACATAGCTAGTAAATGTCTGAGGCCAGATTTGGACTGCACCACCTAGCTGCCCCTAAGTGCCTATTAGATATCTTAAAATGGATGTCTCCTAGACACATTAAAATCAACATACCTAAACTGAACTCATTATATTTCCCTCCAAACTTTTCCCTCTTCTTAGCTTCCCTATTGCTCTTTTTAATTAATTTAATTTGAGTTTATCTTCAATTCCAAATTGTATCCCTTTTTCAGTTATTGATAATGCAAGAAATGCAAAACTCTTTACACACATAAAGTATTGCAAAAATTTCCACATTGGTCAAGTTCTGAAAAAAAAAGCAAGAAAAATAAAGAGAAAAAAATGTGCTTCAGTCTGCATATTGAGTTTATCAGTTCACCAGCTTAAGGTGGATAGCATTTTTCACTATGGTCTTTTGGAACTGCGGTGGGTCATCATTGTGTTGATTACAGTTACAAAGTCAATCAAGGAGTCATTCAATCAACATTTATTAAACACCTAATATGTGCCAGGCACTGTGCTGTGGATACAAAAAGAGGCAAAAGACAACCCCTGTCATCAAGGTGCTTACAATCTAATGGGAGAAACAACATGCAATCAAATATATACAAAGAATGTAATATATACAGGATGGATAGGAAATAATTAACAGAGGGAAATGACTGGAGTTAAGAGGGACTGAGGAAAGTTTTTTTTGTAGCAGGTATGATTTTAGGTATGATTTAAAGAAAGCCAGGTAGTTCAGTAGTCAGAGTAGCTGTTAGGCAATCCTACTACAGCTCTCTTACCAACTCACTATCTTATTCTCCACAGTGGCTCTTCCAAAACTTTTTAACCCTCCTTAAAACTTCCAAGTCTCTTTCTCCCCCTTGCTATCTTAGCTGAGGACTTGGCCTCATATTTTACTGAAAAAAGATTGAGGTCATTCATGATGAACTTCCTCTTACCCCCTCTTCCTTATCTCCTATCACTCAGGTGCCTCCTGCCAATGTCTCTTCCTTTACCTCTGACGCACATGATCAAGTGGCCTTATTCCTTACCAATGTTAATCCCTCTATTTTATCAAGTGATCCCATTCCATCCTATCTCTTCTAATACATTATGGTCACTGTCATATCCACTCTTTCACTTATTTTCAGTCTCTCCCTCTCTACTGGATGATTTTCTACTGCCTACAAATATGCTTATCTCTCCCCTATCATTCATTGATTCAGTCAATAAATATTTATTAAGTACCTAATTTGTGCCAGGTACTGTGCTAAATGTTGGGAATACAAAAAGAGGCAAAAGACAACCCCTGTCCTCAAGGATCTTACAGTCTAGAGGAGGACTCAACATGCAGATATAAAACAAGTAATGGATAGGATAAATACGAAATGATAAAAAGAGGGAAAGCATTAGAATGAAGAAGGATTGAAGGAGGCTTCCTATAGAAGGTGGGATTTTAGATGGGATTTAAAGGAAGCCAATGACATCAGTAGTTGGAGTAGAGGAAGGAGAGCATTCCAGGCATGAGAGACAGCCAGAGAAAATTTCTAAAGCTGAGAGATGGTATGTCTTCCTTGTGGAACAACCAGAAGGCCAGTGACTGGGTAAAAGAGTATGTATTAGAGAGTAAGATGTTAGAAGACTGGAAAGGTCAGAGGAGGCTAGGTTATAAAGAATTTTGAATGCTAAGTAGAGCATTTTATATTTGCTCCTTGAGACAATCAGGAACCACTGGAGATTACTGAACAGAGGAGCGACATTTTTGGACCTGCATTTTAGGTAAATCACTCTAATGGTTGAAGGGAAAATGGTTGGAATGGGGAGAGACTTGAGGGAAGTAGACCCACCAGAAGGATATTGCAGTAATGAACACATGAGGTGATGAGGGCCTACACAAGAGTGGTGGCTGTCTCAGAGAAGAGAAGGGTGGGGGTTGGGGTGGTATTTGAGAGATGTTGCAAAGGTGAAATTTACAGGCCTTGGCAATAATTTGGGTATGTGGGCATATGAAAGATAGTGAGGAATCCATGATGACCCCTAGTTTGCAAACTTGAAGGACTGTGGGATGATGATGTTGCCCTCTATAATAATAGGGAAATTACTCCCCAAAGTAGACTCTGGATCAAAATCCAGTGATAATGACCTCCTGGTTATTTCAAGAACAAGACTATCTTTTGGCTCTGAGCATTTTTTTGGACTGTTCCCCATGCCTGGAATGCTCTTTGTTCTTTGCTCTGATCACTGACTTCCCTGGCTTTAACTGCCACCTAAAATCATACCTGCTATAGAAAACCTTCCTCAATCCCTCTTAATTTCAGTAACTGTCTTTTGCCTCTTTTTTTGTATCCATAGCACTGCTTAGCACAGTGCCTGGAACATATGAGGTGCTTAACAAATGTTGATTGAATGACTGCTTGATTGACTTTGTAACTCTAATTAACACAATGATGACTCACCACAATTCCGAAGGATGCATAACGAAAAATGCTATCCACTTCCAGTTAGTGAACTGCAGTATTTCTACTGCCTAATGCAATGCCTGGCACGTAGCAGGCACTTAAGAAATACTAATTTACTGATCACCTCTAGACAATAACTCATATTTGGATACTGTTTTGTGGTTAACAAGGTACTTTCATCACAACCCAGAGAGGTGAATGATGACGTTGTTACTGTACTGATTTAATAAATATGGAAACTGAGACTCTGAGAGGTGATTTGATTTTCCCATGATTGTATAACTAGTTGGAATGGGAATCAGAACTTTTCTTCTTTTCTTCTTACTCAGAACTCAGGAGTCTTTCTAATATACCACGTTTCATTCATATGAAAAAGTGTTGCCATTTAATACAATTAAATTTGAACCTTCTGAAATTCTTTTTTGAAGTTCATTTCTATGGTCATATGTATTTTCCTCTCATTTATTACAACTTTTTTTCTGAAAGATTCAAACATTTCAAATACTGTTATTAATGTTACTATTTTTACAAATTCCATTGTTTTTACTTACGCAGGGCAGTAATGGCAAACAAAAAAGTACTTGTAAGAAGCATTAGGACACTCAGCACATCCACATCCAACTTTATAAGATGAATACCACATCACCTAGAATGCAAAAATCAAATTACATAAGAATATTTTTAAAAGTATGAACTCTCCTATGCTTCCAGGATTGCAAGAATCCACAATTTCTTCCTTTTTTCTTTTTATTTTCCTATGGGGAGAGGTAAATTGGAGTGGGGGGCAATGGTTTCCCTGGATATAAATAAATAACTACTTTTTACTTACCTGCATAGATTGCTGCATCTATGTCAAGGGACCCAAAAAAACCCCACCACAATCAACTGGAGATCATCCTTCTGGTGGTTCTCTTTATACATAGTAAAGGTAGTCCCCAGACAACAGACAACATTGTCATAGGGCCTGAATTGGAAATCTGCCACTTGGGTATGTCTTAGGCAAGCTTTTCCTTCCTACCATAGTCTTCAAGGACCTATGCTCATTTCTACTCCATGATGAGTCATCAAAAAAGAAATTTAGGGAGTATGGCAAACAATCATGCTAAGAACTTCTTCAACCTTGTAAAATGGAAAAAAAAACATGACTTGGTCTCCAGCCATAGAAAAGCTTGCAAATCAAGTAAGAGAGACAGAGGAAAAATTTGGAAGAGAAATGAGTGTTGCTAGATAATCATGAAAAACAAATCAACAGCTTGGTAAATATTGAAGAAAATAAGACCTTAAAAAGACAAGGCCAAATGGTAAAATGTCCAAAAAGCCAATGAGGAGAAGAATGCCTTAAAAACAGAATTGTCCAAATGGAAAAGGAGGCCCAAAAGCTCACTGAAGAAAATCATTCTTTAAAAATTAGAATGGAGCAAATGGAAGCCAATGACTTTATGAGAAATCAAGAAACAATAAAACAGAACCAAAGAATGAAAAAAAAATAGTAGACAAAGGGAAATATCTCATTGGAAAAACAACTGACCTGGAAAATAGATCCAGGAGAATTAATTTAAAAAATATTGGACTACCTGAAAGCCATGATCAAAATAGGAGTCTAGATATCCTCTTTCAAGAAGTTATCAAGGAAAACTGCTCTGATGCTCTAGAACCAGAGGATAAAATCATCACTGAAAGAATCTACCAATCGCCTCCTGAAAGAGATCCCAAAATGAAAACTCCCAAGAATCTTATAGCTAAATTCCAGGGTTCCCACGTCAAGGAGAAAATATTTCAAGCAGCCAGAAGGAAACAATCTAAGTATCATGGAACCACATCAGGATAACACAAGATTTAGCAGCTTCTACATTAAAAGGTCAGAGAGCTTGGAATATGATATCCCAGAGCTAGGATTATAACCCAAAATCATCTACTCAGAAGAACTGAGTATAATCCATGAGGGGAAAAATGAATATTCAATGAGATAGAGGAATTTCAAACATTCTTGAGAGAAAAGACCAGAGCTGAATAGAAAATTTGACTTTCAAATACAAGACTCAAGAGAAGCATAAAAAAGTAAACAGGAGAGAAAAATCATGAGGGACTTATTAAAGTTAAACTGTTTACATTCCTATATAGGAAGATGATATTTGTAATTCATAAGACCTTTCTCATTATTAGAGTAGTTAGAAGGAGTATGTAGATAGAGGACACAGGTAGAAGTTGAATATGAAATGATGATATCTAAAAAATAAAATTAAAGGGTGAGAGAGGAATATACTGGGAGAAATAGAAAGGGAGAGGTAGAATCAGGTAAATTATCTCACATAAAAGAGGCAATAAAAAGCTTTTACACTGGAGGTGAAGATGGAGGAGGTGAGAGTGAGTGAGTGAACCTTATTCTCATCAGAACTGGCTCAAAGAGGATATAACATACACAATCATTTGGGTATAGAAATCTATTTACCCTGCAGGAAAATGAAACAAAATCAAAATTTTTGGGAAAAAAAAGAAAATGTGAAATATCTCCCAGGAATAGAAAAATGACTCAGAAATATATTAAGGAAAGACAATTTAAGAGTTATTTGACTACCTGAAAGGCATGATTTTTTAAAATGCCTAAACATAATAATTTTAGAAATTATAAAGGGAGCTTCCCAGATGTCTTAGAACCAGAGTGCAAATTAGAAATTGGAAGAATCCATCAGTCATTTTCTCAAAGAAAACCACAAGATGAATATCCCTAGAAATAGTATAACCAAAATCCAGATCTCCCAGTTCCAGGATAACATATTTCAAGCAGCCAGAAAGAAAACATTCAAATGCTTTGAAGCCATAATCAGGATTGCACAAAATTTAATAGCTACCATGATAACAGAGTGGAGGGCATGGAATATGATATTCCAGAAAGCAAAGTACCTAAGATTACAACCAAAACTAATCTATCCTGAAAAACTGAAAATGATCTTCCCAGGGGGAAGGCATTTAATGAAATAGAGGATTTTCAAGCGTCCTTGATGAAAATACCAAAGCTGACATTCAAACATGACATTCGAGAGAAACATAAAAACGGTAAACATGAGAGAAAATCAAAAGGGACTTCACAGGATTAAACCATTTATATTCCTATATAGGAAGATAGTACATATGACCTCTAAGAATTTTATCATTATTATGGCAGAAAGAAAGGATCTACTTAGAGGGCACATGTGTGAGCAAATTATATTGGGCTGATATCAAAAGAAGAGGAGAGTGAGAAAGAGTGATGCCCTGGGAGAAGAAATAAAAAGGAAATTTATTTAACATGAAAGAGGGGCAAAAGAAGAGTTTATACAATAGAGGGAAAATGGGAAGGGGAGAAGGCAACACTTGAACTTCACTCTCATCTGAACTGGTCCAAATTGGGGTGGTGATAATTCAATTTACTTAACAAGGAAATAGGAGAAGGGGGAAGGGGATTATGAGAGGGAGAGTAGATTAAGGGAGGCAGTTGTTAGATGCAAAACAGATTTTTGAGGAGGGAAGATGGTAAAAAAAAATAAAAAGAGAAAGATAAATAGAAGACAATAGGATTCCATACATGGTTAGCAATCATAACTGTGAATGTGACTAGGATGAACTTACCCATAAAAAATAAAGTGGATAGCATAATGGATTAGAGAACAGAACCCAATGTGTTGTTTACAAGAGATACATTTGTATCTGTAAGACATATACAGAGTTAAAGTAAGGTGCTAAAGCAGAATCTATTACCCTTCAGCTAAAGTTAAAAAAAAAATCAAAAGGTAGGATTGCAAACCAAATAATCCTAAAGAATGAATCAAGAAACAAATCATAGAAACAATCAATAATTTCTTTTTTAAATTTCTTTTTTATTTAGTATTTTATTTTCCCCCAGTTACATGTAAAAACAATTTTTAAAACTTTGAGTTCTAAATTCTCTCCCTTCCTCCTTCCCCTCCCCCCCCATTGAGAAGCCAAGCAATTCAAATATAGGCTATACAGATGTAGTCTTGCTGTCCCTACCATGTCACCAAAGCTTTTTTTTGGGTCAGGTTCTGTTTTTGGTTTCCATTTTTACAGCCTATTTCTTAACTTTGGCCTTTGTTTGGATATTATTCTTATTTGGAATTGACTTTAGGACCAGAGTTGGGCTCTACTCACCTCTCAGGATGGGGGGATATTAGGCCTGAGCTCCTTTTATATCCTTTTGCTGCTTTCACAGCTCGCTAAGAACCTGTAAGCTTTCATTGCTTCTGATGTGGTATAATCTAGGGAGAAGTCTACTTACAGCCCTCCTGATCTGTACTCTAGTCTTTACCCAAGTAGGGCCTAGTTCACTCACAACCATGTCCATTTCTCTTCCTGCCCTGGAACTGCCAATTGTACAGCAGTTATGAGTAACAGAGCTGCCAGATTGCATTTGTTTCTGCTTTCATTGCTAGTACAAATTTTCCCTGAGATCTGACCAAGTGTTCAGTCACCTTACAGTAGTCTCTGGGTATCGGTCTGCTTCTTGCTGCTGTCACTGCCACCACAACCATGTTGTCATCACTATTAGTGCTGCTTTTGCCTCATACTACACTCCTAGGCAGTCCCTACCTCAATATCTGTATATTCCTCTTTCTGTTTTCCTAAGTTTCCCTTACCTGGAATAAAACTTACTGTGACTTTAAATTGGCTTTCCTGCACAGAATTTGGTTTGATGCATTTTTTTAGGTATTTTTGTTTATTTGAAAGGGTATTTTGGGAGAATTGGCAAAATGTTGATTTCACTCTACCATCTCAACTCCATCCTCTGTGTCTCTCCCCCCCCTTTTTTTTTGGCGAGGCAATTGGGCTTAAGTGACTTGCCCAGGGTCACACAGCTAGTTAGTGTCAGGTCTCTGGTCTGAGGCTAGATTTGAACTCAGGTCTTCCTGACTTTCAGGGCCAGTGCTCTATCCACTGTGCCACCTAGTTGCCCCTGTGTCTCACTTTTTTAAGGGCCATTAGGAAAATGAACATTTTTTCTTTTTGGTCCTGAAGTTGGTTAATTCTGATTCCATTAATTTTTATCTAAGAATTTCTTCACACCTTGTAAATGTAAATCTGTTTTTAGGTTCATTTAAGATTTCAACATTACATTTTCTTTGTTACCTTACCCTTTATGTAATTTAATCAACTGATCTGGACAAAACTAACTAGGATTCTTCTTCCCAATAATGCATGCTATAATCATGCAGGAGAATTATGGACGATTATAAATGATTTTGCCTCACAAAGGGTGGAAAAATAATGGAGAGGAGAGAGAACATGAAAAAAAAAACCTTAGTATGAGACCCAACTAGGCCACACTATTCTACCATCATCTGTAGATCAATTTAAAAGCATGTGAAATGAAACAGAAATCCCAAAGAACTATTCTCAATGTCACTGATACAGATACTTAAACTTTATTATCTTAGTATATATTGTGCTAAGTAAGTGGAAATAGCACTTAAAAAGTTGAAGGTCTGAAGTTTGTCCTTATACCTGTCCTAATTCTCAACTGGCCTCTTGTCATTCCAACCCTTCTTGCCTTCCTACTTCACTACCATTAGTCACCCTTCCCTCCCTTTGTAGATTGATCAATTCAGTTGTACACTCTTTTCTTTAAACTCTTGTCCCCCTGCCCTACTACAAAACCCCAATTCTCATTCCCTGTCCCATCCCCTTTCCTACAGCATTTCCCAAACAGCTTTTCTGTGTATACTTGAAATCTGTTAAATGTCACTGAAAAGTCACATAACTACACTGACTGAATCCATAAAAATAACAACGACAACAACAACAACAACAACAACATCACTGTTATTCAATTTCATCTGGTCCCTATTGCTTCTAGGTGCTTCTCTCAGCTTTCCATGACTGACTCTCACATTCCCCAGAGTAACTATTCTAAACCTTCTCTTCTGTATTCAAGCCTTCTACATCACCCCTTGGCTCTAGTCAGATCTTGACTCTTACATGAACAAAGCAGAGGCCATTCAATGCTAATCTCCACTACCTCCAATACACAGACCACAACTCAAACAGTTCGCAGATTTTCTCATTGTTTACTCCATCTCTTACAAAGAAAAAAAAGGATCTCCTCCTTTACAAAGTCAGGCATTTTTTTTTATCCCCTCTTCTCCCATATCTTCAGGTATTTTGCCACTTCAATCATTTCCTCAACTTGTACCTCTTTCAACTAGCTCGTTACCTTATTCACATAAAAATGTTCAGTGTTCCTTCCATCCTTAAGGAATCTTCCTTTGATAAATCCAATCCCCTGAAGCTATTATTCCAACTCTGCTTCCCCCCTCTTACAGCCAAACTTAAAAAAAGAAACCTACATTCACTGCTGTCACCTACTCATCTTCCACTCAATCTGGTATCCCTCAAAATCAAATCTCCAACAGAAATACTCAATCAAAATTGCTCTCTGCACAATTAATAGTGAATCTTCTTAAAAATGCTTAATTGTACTTTTCCCATGATCTTTATTTCCAAATACACCACTCCCTCTTCTTCTCAGCAACTGTCATATATATATGTATATATATATATATATATATATATATATATACATATATATATGTATGTGTGTGTTTGTATGTCATATATATAATCTATCTGTATATACATACATGTAATAGTTAACAAAACCTAAGAGTTCAACTGAAACTGGTACTATATACAATTTTTCCATATTAATAGTTTACTACCTCTCCAAAGAAGGGAGGCCCTATATCTTTTAATGAATGAAACAATTTCAGGTGTTAAAAATAAGGAATTAAATTGTATAATCTCAGAAAAAACAATTAGAGGGGGAAGATCATCAGATCTTATATTTTAAAATGAGGTTTACAAACCTTACATTAATAAGGCTTACAAAAATATATAAGGCTTATATTATTCTCACTATGAAGAATGACTGTGATAGTTTAAAAATTATGCAAAAAAGAAAAAAAATCAATAAATTTGATTAGGTTAAGAGACCTATACCTGGACATAATCTTAAAACTCATCTAGTTCAATCCCTTCATTTTTGTAAGTGAGGAAACCAAGGCCCAGAAAGATTAATGAAATAGAAAGTAAGTAGGTAGAGTCAAAATTCAAACTTTAGTCTTTAGGATTTGTTTTACTGTACCATTGTATCCTACTGAACATAATCTGTCTTCCAAATTATTTCTGCTCCTTACCTGAGTGTAATGTCCAACCGCTTGGTTAGAAGTTGATCCTTTTCCAAAAACAAAATATTCAACCTCATCATACCAAGCTTGGACAGCTTTTGACCATGGGACGGGAGCAGTTGACATGAAGAGATTTTCACCACATATGCTCCCTGAGAAGAAAATGAACCATTTATGATGGGAGAATAATATTTGTAACCACAGCTTAAATAGTCTCTCCCACAAATATAGATTCTTTTCCTATATCTTTGGAGCATTAAAATCTTGAGAGACTGAAATTTTAATTGTTATTCTGGAGAGATGATTTCTTTTTAAGTTGTAAGGTTGAAGAGAAGAATAGAAATAAATAGGATGAGGAGAACTGATATTTTGAGAAAAATGTTTCATTTTTATAATGATGAGAAAAATGAAAATTCTGGGAACAAGATTGTGATTGGTATCTTGAGAAAACTGAAAAGTGGGATTATGGTGGTTTTCTGAGCTGGTGTGTACTGGTTCCTCTGCCTATATTGAAGCTCTCAGGGGTCCTGGTGTTGGTACTTGCCTGCTCCACCAACCTGGGTCTCAGGATCTCCTCCTGGTATACTGAGGTGGGGCTTGCCTCTGGCCTACTGGGACACCTACTGTCCTGTACTGCTATCCCTCCCCCAGAAGGAGAGGGGCCTTTCCCTTAATCCCCCAAGCTTCCTGGGCTACACTGCTGTGCCCTGTCTTTTTGCTGGTTCAAGGTTTTTCCTGGGTTGATAACTTACTTCTTACTGTGCCTCTTGGCTCCAAAAAGTGGAATTGTGTTGTCTGAAAATGGAAATTTTAATGATGGATAGAAATGACTAGGGCTATGATTTTTCTCACAATGAATGCTTTGTAAATTTTTTAAAAATATACTGCTGAAAGTATAGTCAATATCATTGATGTTTATTCAAATCTAAGAGACTGGATGTTGGAGTGGCTTTGCTATACTCTCTCTCTGTGTATGTATATATATATATGTGTGTGTGTGTGTGTGTGTGTGTGTGTGTGTGTGCATATATATGTGTGTGTGTGTATATGTGTATATATGTATATGTATATATGTATATACAATATATATATGTATATTGCATGTACTGCATTTATATTATATGTTAATTTTTACAAGACAACTTCTCTTATTTCCCAAATAAAATCTCATCTTCTATAGGAAGTTTTCCCCAACCCTCTTACTTCCAGTGCCTTCCCTCTGTTAATTATTTTCCATTTATCCTGTATATAGCTGGCTTTGTATATACTTGTTTGCATATTTTCTCTCGCATCAGAGCGTAAGCTCATTGATGGCAGGACTGTCTTCTGCCTTTTTTTTTTGTATCCCCAGGACTTAGCACAGTGCCTGGCATATAGTAGGCATTTAATTAATGTTTATTGATTGATCAATATCTATATTATTTATTTTTAGATCTATTCCAGAATCTAAATGTTTAGATCTTTTAAAATCGAGGTCTATAGCTAAATATAGATGGATCTACATGTCCAAATATATACACATATATCTATCTATAACTATTATATACATATCCATATATATTATATATCTATAACTATTTATCTCTATCTCTATATCTATGAAGAAAGAGAATGTGAGAGATCAAGAGGGATAGACAGAGAAGATGAGTAAAAACTTTTGAGAAAAAAGTTTCTCTGCTTTATTAAGTAATTAATATTTATATTAATAATATAATTTGAGGTTGGCTTTCAGAGATAGTAGTTCAAGAGATGATACATTTTTAGTAATTAATGTGGGAATTTGATCATACTCCTTTGAATACCTTAGAACCTGAGATGAAAATGAGTAAGAAAAATGAGTGTTCAGTAAAAAAAAATAAATGTAGGATGATCATCTAACCTTGTTTACATATAATTATCATTGACCTTAACACTTGCTTCCCACATATCTTCAAATTCAAAGGGATCAAACACAGAAGCAAAAGAATATAGTAGCAAAGTATTCAAACAATCTAAGTCACCAAATATCAGGTTAAAGTCTCCTTATTAGACAAAACTGCTGGGATAACAGGAAAGCAGTCTGGAAGAAATTCAGTTTAGACCTTTGTATCATGTGATAAGCAAAAATAACCACAAACTGGACATATGACTTAATATGAAAAACAGTTTCAAAAAACACAGTAGAGGAGAAGTGAAGAAGGTAATTCTCACAATTGTTGATAAGGGAAGAATGGCTGACCAAACATTGGAAGAAAATGATCCCAGAAAATTAAAGGGATAATTTTTCTTTCATAAAATTGAACATATTTTCACAAAAAAGATGCTGTTATAATTAGAAGGACTATATAGTTCACTGTAAAAAAAATACACAGCAAATTTACAGCGAAAAAGAGAAATTTGCCACAAATTTTTTAGATAGAATTCTGATATATGAGATATATCAGGACCTAATACATATATAAAGCAACAAAAGCTTTTCTCCCAGAGGTAAACAGCCAAAAGACATGAATGGACAGTTTTCAAAGGAGATATAAACTATCAAAAACCATAGGGAAAATGTCTCAAATGATCAATAATAAGACCAATGCATTCAAAAAATGATATTCAGATTCCCACTCACCAGATTGTTGAAGATAACAACAAAAATCAAAAGGGAAAATTACAATTGTCAGAGGTGATGTGAGAAGAAACATATACTGTTGTACTCTTCTTGGTGTTGTGAGCTGGTCTAACTATTCTCGAAAACAATTTGTAACTATATCTAAAAAGCCTCTGAAACTGTCTATAACTTTGAATCCCATACTACCACTGTACCTCAAAGAAGTCAAAGAGATAAGGAAAGGACCTATATTTCCCATATTTATACCCACATTTTTTGGTAGCAAAAATTGTAAATCAGGCCTGTTAACTGAGGATTGATTGAGCAAAGTGTAATGCCTAATAAAGTTATTGATGTGTAAAAAATGTGACAAGGAAGAAAAAAATTTGAAGAGATTTGGTGATTTACTTAAGGCAACAAATAAAAAGTAGATATAGCAGTGATGTAAATTAGGTAGGTTCTCTGATTTCAAATTCAATGTTCTTTCCATTGCCTTGCATTGCCTCCCTTTTAATGTTCATGTACTATTTTTATATGATATTTGATTTATATTATATTTGATTATAAGGTCCCTTATAGCAATACCAGAATTTCTGCTAGCTCACCAAATACCTTGCCTATGGATCATACTCAAATTCTGTTAGATGGCTGTGTATGACACTGGAAATTCTGGAGCAGAAAAGTGGCTAAACCATATGTATGCGTGAGGAGGATTACTCTGGCAGCAAATGAAAGACATTGAAGAGATTTGAGGGAGAGTATAGAAGAAGACATTCCTTTTAGTAGACTAATGAGATAATTCACTAGGCAGCAATGAAATCCCATTACTGAGATAGTGTCTTTCAGAATTAAGAGTGAAAAAAATAAAGGAAAAAAATAATTAAGAGGGAAAGACAGATGAATTTGATGTGGTGGGAGTTCAAGGCAGTAAGACTTTGTAAATATTTAGAACTAAGATATGAATAATGAGAAAAGCTAACATAACCCTAAAGTTATGAATGTAAGGGATAAAGATGAATGGTAGAGTCTTAATTAGAAAAAAATAAGTCATCAGAATATTTACTGTGAATGAATGACAGTGTCAAAGAGATGGAAAAATGGGAGGTTGGGATCTGGGAATGGGACATGCAAGTTCCAGATGTTGGCAGTAGAATGAGGCAAGCTGAAGTCTAATGTGTAGTTATATTCATATTTATCTGAACTGAGGTGAAGGGTTTCTTGGGCTTGAGATGGTTAGAGCATTGAGAAATAACTTCAACTTCAAAACTCTGTGACTTTGTAGAGAAGAGTATTATTTCGACTAGCCTAGCTCATAATACTCTCCCAGTCCAGTGATTTATGAGACCATCCTTGAATTACTGTGGCCAAAAAGGAAAAAAAAATCCGCCTTTCAGTCACCCTGATTAAGACCTTCTCTGAGCATAGCTGGACATATAACAGAAAACTGTTCATTTGTATAACCTTCTTATATTTTACTGCTCTGGATGTACTCTATACTCTAGTTCCACTAGCCTATTTTTGTTCCTCTGACACTACTAGGCATTTCTTGACTCCCTGCCTTTATGTTGACTATCTCTGATGCCCAGAATGCTCTCCCTCCTCTTCTTCACCTTTTAGCTTTCCCAGCTTTAGTCGACTCAACTTAAATCTGCCCTTCTGCAGCAGGATTGCAGTTACTCTAGAGTAGGTTATTTTTTTAGTTGCATCTTCTGAATATTGAAATATTTGAGGATGATGGTCATGATGTGGGACAAATTGGAAACTGAGTCTGCTCCTAAATTCGCTCAGAAAGTTTGCTACTAATTAATTGATAGTCTTAGATGATTTTTTGCCTCCTCATTCATTCTGCTCTTCATTAACACAATATGCTAATGAGGCATTCAAGTTAAATATAAGTGCTGGAGTTTATACATTGGAACAAATCATGAAGAAAATTCTTGAGGGATAAGTAGGAAAAAGCAAAAGACACATACTTTATACATTAATCAGTTTAACAACTAATTAAAGTGACAAGAGTTATCACAAGACAGGAAGCTAAAATGAGTGTTATTGATATCAATGTAATTAAACTATCCTTATTATTCTATTATTTTTTTCTATTGTAATAAATGTTATTCAGTGTTAAGCCATTATATTTTTGGCACTTAAAATGTAATAATGAATAAGAGTGGTTTCACACATTGGACTTTTCTTCAATAGCAAGAGATCGATTCATTTATTTTTAAATTACTTTTGTAATTACTTGTATAATTTCTGAATAGATGTTGTTTCATGGATACTTGTTCTATCTTCACATATAGACTGTCAGTTCCTTAAGGCTAAGAGCCATGTCATTTACTTTGTATATTTCCCATAGTACCTAGCACAGTGTTGGGTACAACTATGACTAATGCCAAAGGAAATATCCATGAAGGCCATGAATTGATGTTCTCAGTGGTGAATTGGATTCAAGAAGTGGTATAAAAAATACTATTGATGACATATATGACTGGAAACAGAGGTGGGTTGGCCATATAGGTTGACCCTTTAGGAATGAGACAGAATAGATGAAAAGTCCAAATGCACTGGTAGCATTTAGCTGTGAAGAGAACCAAATGAAGTCCTGAAACACATTGAATGGGTCATCTATTGAGTATGTAGAGAAACACACAGAGGCAAAGCCAAGATGGCTAAGTTGAAAAAAAGCTGTGCAGTGAGGAACTCTCTCCAAACTCCTCCAGAGAGATCTAGAAAAAAAAAATCTTGAGGGAGAGCTGAAATAGATCAAATCAATGAAGAAATTTAAGAAACAACATCACAGTGAGTCATTTTTTTTGCAGTCCAGTTCAGTGTAGAGGGATAGAGAGGTCTGCAGACACTGGGGGAAGGGGTGGGTGCAGAGCTCACTATGCTTAGAGCATGACTGAAACAGAAAGGAAAGGAAAGAGACAAAAAGGACAAAGAAAGTTAGAGAAAAATGTCTCACATAATCAGGGTATGCAAGTAGACACATGTACAAATAAAGAAGAGGGATTGAGGAGAGTGGCTGACACTTGAACCTTACTTTCATCTGAACTGATGAAAGGAGGGAAATAAACACATAAATGTCAGTAAAAAATGCATTTTTCTCAATAGAAATATAGGAGGGAAAGAAAAGGGAGAAAAGGGAATTATGGGGAGGGTAGCTTAAGGTAGAGAATAGTCCTAAGGAAAACAAATCCTGAAGATACATGAAAATATTTATAGCTCTTTCTGAGGTGGTAAATTGAGAATGGCTGACCAAATTATGGCTTATAAATGTAATGCAATATTATTGTGGTATAAGATGAAGGGGATGTTTTCAAAGAAACCTTGGAAGACTTATATGATGCAAAGGGAAGTGAATAGAAGCAGGAGGACAATTTATACAAATACTATAATATAGTAAAGACAAACAAATGTGAAAGAAATAAAAATTCTAACCAATGTAACAATCAACAATTTCAGAGGAATAATGATGAAATATGCTACCAACTTATAGAAAGTTGAATGACTCAGAGCATAGGACAAGAATATATGTGTATATATGTATGTATGTGTATGTAAACAAACATATATATGCATATACATACATATATAGTCAATTTGTTTTGCCTGACTATAATTTTTTTAAACAAATGGTTGGTTTTATTTTGTTTTGTTTTCCTTTTCAAGGGGGGGTAGAAAAGGTAGATATTTACTGATTGCATATATATATATATAATATAATATGATATGATATGATATAATAATATGTCTCCATCCATATATGTTCATACACATAGGCACACACATATACATATGCATGCATATGTGTGTGTGTGTGTGTGTGTGTGTGTGTGTGTGTGTGTTTTAAACCTATAAGAGACCTTGGAGAAGTCCAAATCCACTTATTTTTAGAATTGAGGAAACTGAGAACAAAGAAGATAAGTAACTTGATTAAGGACACACAGAAGGTAACTGGTTAAACTAGGTTCAAAGCTACGTCCTCTGATGGAGGACCTAGCAAATCCAGAGTAACACAGTATATGAGGCTGGGTCAATATTATGATCTGCAGGGAAGAGGCTGCCACAGCAGTGAGGACACAGATGTTTCAAAGTGTCACAGCATAATACGTTCAGTCACCAAGTCACAAATTTCTCCTTTATTGAAAGTATGTTTTTTTTTTTACTTACCAATTGTTCTGCTAGCTACATCACTGTGTGTTAATGTACATTTATTTGCCCAGCTCTGGGCTGATTTTTGTGCTTCTTCGCTCCATTCCTTAAAGAAAAAGAAATATATATATACATATTATATCTATCTATATATCTATCTATATATCTATATCTATATCTATATCTATATCTATATCTATATCTATATCTATATCTATATCTATATCTATATCTATATCTATATCTATATCTATATCTATATCTATATCTATATCTATATCTATATCTATATATATCTCAACTGAAAATTTAAGTCCAAATTTTGATTCAATTCACTTAAAATATTTATAATTATCTGTTATAGTGAGAGAATTGTTTTAATTCAAGTATCATGTAAGGACACAAAAAATTAAGTTAGGTACTATATCTGCCTTCATGGATATTATTATAGTCTACTGGAGGGAAAAGATGTGAAAAAGGCATAGTAATAATAATACACTGGGTGTTCAATAATAATAATAATAATAATAATAATGACTTATTATAGTAATGGTCACCCTTCAAATATTCAACAATGATGATAATATATAATTTGTATGACATTTTACTATTTACAAGCAACTTTCTTCATAATAATCTCATGAGTCAAAAAGTATAATTTTATTTTTTCTTTAAAAATATTTCTGAGAGGTTAATAGAATTTTTAAATCTACACAGCTAGAAAATGTTAGAACCAAGATTCAAGCTCACTTCTCTTAAAAAAATACAAGTAGGTTATAATTAAATGAAAAGGCAATGCAGCACAACAAAGCTAGACTTGGAATCAGAAAGACTTGGACTCTTGCCTTGTCTCTGATATTTAGCTGTGTGACCATGGGGAATCATTCAAGTTCTTTGAGTTCCAGGCAATTTTAGAAGAGGGAAAGAAGAAAACAGGCATTTACTAAGCACCAACACTGGGCTAAAGGCTCAACACACATCTCATTTGAAACAACAAAACAGAGAAGTAGGTGTTATTATTATTCTCATTTTACACTTGAGGAAATTGAAGAAGACAGAGATTGTGACTCATAAGTGATTGGCATATAGTCACTTAGCTAATAAGTGTCTGAAGCCAAATTTGAACTCAGGTCTAATTGACTCTGGGTCCAGATCTCCAGCCACTGTGCCATCCAGTTGCATCTAACCTTTACTATTAAGTTACAGGGTCATTGCTACTGGCCTCAGTGAAGTTACCATCATTAATGAAATCATAAGCCCTTGACATTTTGGGATAAAGATGAATTCACTTTAAAGACCATGTTAATGACCCATCATCAGCCAGGCATACACTTTGAATTTGTTTTCCTCTCATGGAAACAGCTTGTACCAAATCGTCTCCATTTTCTTACTTAGTCATCACCAATGACCTGTGTTTGGAAGTTGTTAGTACTTGTGACCAAAGAGTAGTATTGTTTCTTGGCATGAGAAAATGCCCCCTACATGTTGTGAGACACCTTAAGGCAAGAGCACTGCCCTAGGCCTGAGAAGGCCTAGCTTCTAGTTTTATCTTGGTCTCTTGCTCATTGTCTTATATTAATTTGTAGGCTCTCTTAGATTTCTTTTGCTGGTCTTGAGGGAAATAAAGCAGTTAACTGAAGACAAGTGTAGCAGGGTTTAATGATTAACTATCTTCCCCACCCCTTATCCCATCTGTAGTCGATCTAGATTTTTGCTCTGCAGTGACATGAGATAACCATGGTATAGTAAGGAGACGCCTGAGTGTGCTTGGCACAACACCCTGTGTCACAACTTTATTTCAGTACATTTTTAATTTAATTTTTATTGAATTGAACACTAAATAGTAAGAATACTATTGAATTGAAAAAACTAAGTTTTGCAACCTAGTAGCTCTGTGATCTGTGGCAGATTATATAGCTTCTCCAAAACTTTTCTCTTCTTCCATACAGTCGGGAGGTGGGGGAAGGGTTAATAATTCCTGTTCAGTGTACCTCACAGTGTGATTGTTAAGAATCACTTAAAAGCCACATGGAAAACTAAAAAGCACCATGTAAATGACAACTTCTTCCACAACTCCATTTTTTTCCTAGAAACCTTCCCCCTTGGGATCCACAAAAAAATGTGAACTTTCATTATACATTTGTGATATGTTCTATTATAATTACTTGTGTTTGCGTTGGCCCCTCCTACAGCCTAAGCTCTATAAGAGAAAGGATTGTATCTTCTCTCAGTTTTGCATTGCTCCTAGCTCTTCTAGCACAGCAGATACTTAATATTTGTGTTGGAATGATATAAAAGGTATGCCATTATATAATTATGCATTATATTATAAAATCAAAAATATAATTATTGCAGGCAATATCATTATTTATTAATTAAGACATCATCATTGCAAACTACATCTCCTGATCCATATTCCATTCCCCCACACAGGATTGAAACTTACCATCTGTAGCATGTTTGCAGCAGGGGGTGAGGCTTGTGCTCGCAGAGCATTGTGCTTGTCCACTATTTCATGTTGAATTTCTTCATGTTCAGTTGATAGAGATTCAAAGGATACACTCTATGGGGAAAAAATGAGAAGAGAGATCTCACCAAGGTTAATCCTCAAAACTGAATATTCTTTCCAATTCTTTCCAATCCGATTCATTAAAATATTTTAAAAAGTTATTTTATTAAGTTATTATAAAATGTCTCAAATAGCATAGATTTTCTTATTCTTTGTCATAGAAAACTTGTAAAATAGGAAAATATAATTTAAAACTCCAAGATATCATTAGCTAATGTTATGAGCTCCAAGATAGGCTAAGCAGATGCAAAATAGAATCATAGCATCCTAGATCCAGAAAAAATATCCTTGTTTCATGTAAAAAACTTCTAAGTCACAGATAGGCTTAGCTGAAATAAATTCAGAAAGATAAATATCTACCATATTATTAACATCTTTCACCACATGGGCTCTTCACTAAAATATTTAAGATAAGTTTCCACCAACCACTTCTGTTGAACAGTATTCATGCTTGGCCTGTGCTGCAATTTACTTTCAATCTAGGGTTTTATCAAGTTCAAGGGCTAATATTAAGTAGCAAGTACAAAACACCTACTATGAATTTATTGAAAGAAGCAGCATGGAATAATGGAAGGAGAGCTGCCCTTATAAGACAGGATTATACGTGTTCAAGCCTTGATTCTGACATTTACTTGCTGTGTGACCTTGGCCAATTCATTTATACTTTATGAGACTGAGTTGCAGAGCAGGTGCTCACCTGAATTGGTAAAGGGATTTCCTCACAGGTGTTTCCAATACAAATGGAATCACAAGTCTGGTCTCTTTCCCTATGATATTATGTTGGTACAGTGGTTTAAAACCATTGACATAAATTCTAAAGAGAAAATATAAGTGACATTTCTTTCTGTCATTCATGGAACATTATCCTTGGATAGAACATGGCTAATTCTATGTATCTGCCTGTCCTAACCTTAAGAATATAAACTCCATTGATGAAACAGATGGTCATTTGGCACTGGTGACCAAGTTTGTGTCCCAGGTAAGATACATAAAGTTCCACTTCATAAAAGATCATAAGGTCAGGAAATGTAGAAAGTCATAGAAGATCATAAGGTCAGGAGATGTAGAAAAAAAGTGAGGAGGGAGGGCTCCTGAACATTAGGGGAGGTATAGGGGTAATAAAGGACATGCAGAGACTGGGTTTTATAGAGGAATTCCTTATTTACGAAGCAACAGAAATGATTCTGGGACTGGGACTGGGACTGTCTTTATTCTCATCCATTTAATAAAACTTTAAATGGCAGAGAAATGTTGACACTCAGAATCAAATACCTCATTTTTAGTGAACTTATTTGTTCAACTCCCTTAGTCTTATCATTATTCCCAAGGTAATGATAATCTATGATATGCAATTAAGTCCCTATTAGTACAAATAACAATCTTGTGAAGTGATTTCATTATTCATTATATTCACCACATTTTCATTGGTTTATAATTAATTATCATATTTTATATAATTAAAACTTCAAGTAATACAATATATACAACTATTTCAGGTCATTTGTTACACTAAAAATGACCAGCTGCATCTCAATTGAACTCATTTGTAATCACTGAATATTTAGGATATTGAAAGTAATACAATATATTGAATATAAAATATCTGAAGTAATTATAGGATGTTAGTGTCCTCATTTACTTACTAGCTGTGTGAGCCTAGGAAAATAACAACCTCTGTCAGCCTTTATTTCCTGGACATCTGTGTAACAGGAGTAATGACTACATCTGCAGCCTAGGGTTGTTGTGAAGATAAAATTGTATACACACATACACACATTATATATAATTTGGTTTTGAGTTATTTGACTATACTTGAACTCATTGGGATTTTCTTGGCAAGGATACTGGAGTGGTTTGCCCTTTCCTTCTCTAGCTTATTTTATAGACGAAGAAATTGAAACTAAGTGATTTGCCCAGTGTCATACAGCTGGCATCTGAGGCTGGATTTAAATTCATGAAGACAAATCTTCCTGATTATAAGACCAGTGCTCAATCCACTGTGTCACCTAGCTGCCAGTTATATGTAAAGTGCTTAAAAAACCTTAAAATGCTTTATAAATGTTAACTATAAGCAATTGCTTCTGGCCCTGGACTAACCTGGCCATAAGACCTAGAACTGAGAAAATGTAAGGTGAGAAAAGCACCATGACAAGTGAATGAATTAGTGATTTATTTAGCACTTATTATATGAAAAGCACTGGCCAAGAGGTGGTGATACAGATATAAATCACCTTTAAGTTTGTAGTTATTTGTCTGGAAGACAAGACCAATACCATTGGCACTAACTCCAGTCAATGATCTTCACCTGTAGTCATTCAAACAACAGCTTGGTGAAAAAGAGACTTAGGGCATTAGAAAGATGGGATAGATGTAGAAGACAAGTATGAAAGAATTGAGAAAATGTATGGAAAGAAAATGAAAGGAATCATTGACATCTAACTTTGTGTCTCTTTATCCATAAAATCATAAGAATACATGTTCTATGGATTAATGTCTTGCACCTAAAGTAAGCTTAGATATGAAAGTTTAGGGTATATTATATAGAAATGATATTTCCTGGAAGGCTCACTTAGCCAGGCATGGGAAAATTCCTAGCATGATGGAAGGAAGTTATTGAGCGATTAGTCATACCTGTGCATCACCATAAGACGGGAGCAGTATGGCAGTTAAGGAAAGCAGCACAGGTAGTAAAATCATTGCTGAAAAACAAAACCAAAAGCATGTAAAATTCTGTCCTTGCCATCATCATTAGCATCACCATCATCATCACAAAGATTAGTGTTTTGTCAGATTAGCAGGAAGTAGTGGAAAGAATGCTTGACCTGATATCATGAATTCAAAATCAGGCTCAGAAACTTAGTAGCAGTATGACCCTAGGAAGTCTCTTAGTCTCATTCTTAACTATCATCATCATCATCATCATCACCACCACCACCACCACCAAACTGATTCTAACATGGCTATCTCAGTTTCTTCAACTACAAAATGGAAAATGGGAATAAAAATATTTTCATTTCCCACCTCACATAATTTGCACCAAAACTATGAAGAAAGGACTTTGTAAGTGAAGTGTTAGAGAAATGAGCTATGCTTTCAAGAATATTATGGGGTTTTTTTGAAAACATAATTACAACATGTACCAACTCATGAGATCAAGTGTTTATTCTCTTGATTACTTGGCATGTCAAGTAGGCCAGTGCTTCCTTTTATTGATCCTAGACTCACCTGGAGCAAGCTCATGATAGTTCCATTGAAATCTAATATTCTAATGTTCGGTGAACTTATTCATCCCCTTCTTTGATCATTTTCTCTTTCTACTTTTGTTATCAGTACTGAATGATTTTAATCTTTTCAGTATATCTTTAAATGACAGCATTCCATCCTATTCTCCCTGCCAGACACATGGACACAGACACACAGAGACAAATAGATAAACACATAACAACAATCATAACACATACACACACACACACACACACACACATACACACACACACACACACACACACAGAAAGCATTCTCCAGTTTTTTCCTATCTCATTTGAGCTATAGTGACCAACCTGGATGATATGCAGCTTTCCAGTTACAAACACACCATGGTCTTATACAAGGGTATGGTAATTTTTAAAATATAATTTCTAATTCTGTTAGTACATGGTGTCTGGCATTTGCTGGCACCTAGAAGTGCTGTAGCACCTGGGGATTAAGTAGAAAGTTAAGCAGTGAATGGTGAAGCTTAAAAGAGTTAGTTCAATGGAAAGTAAAGTGATCAGGGCTAATTACACATGGAATCGAGGTTTGGAGAACTAGAAGAGAGAAAAAAGAGAAATCTATATAGGGAAAAACAAGAAGGAGAGGTTTTAGGGAGGGAACTGGGAAGGCATATTTGCTTGCTTGACTAGAACTGAGGGTGGTTTTAAAGGAATGAACTTAGCTAGAGTTTGAATTCTTATTCAGGAATCAGGAGAATAGATGACTGTGATGGCTCTTCCACTTCTGAGATTCTATGATTCTGTGACCAGGAAGGCCTTGATAACCCAGAGAGAGGAGTTGATATAGTAGAAAAGAGGGGGCCATTGAATGTTTTGAACAGAAGATTGATATAATGAGCTACCGAAGCAGACAAAAAAAATGGCCACTTGCTGGGGACTTCATAAGGGTGATTCACTGTCAACGTAAAGTTTTGATTAGATGACCTTCATGGTCTTATCTGAGATTCTTTGAACCATCTACTGCAGTTGGTGTCAAACTCAAATGGAAACAGATTCCTAAAGGCCACATGTTGACTTAACTAAAGACACAAATTAACATTATGTTCGGTTTTTATTTATTTTTGTTAAACATTTTATTGTATTTTATTCTGGTTCTGCCCACACTAGGGAGTTTTGCAGGCTGTTTGTGGCATTTGTGGTGGCCAGGCCAGTGGTTTGATGCCTCTACAGGGTTTCCCATAAGCCTTTGTACCTTTAAATTACTTTTTTCCCCTTTTTAATTCAAGAAATACAATTTAATAAATACTTACTAAACGCTGTGCTCAGAGGATTTTATTGCCCACTAGGGAGATACAAAGGAGATACAAGATGTGTCTTCTTGGAGCCACTCTTCCAGTAGAGACGGTTTATTTAGTCCATTTACAATGTCATCTTTGGGAGTCAACTATACTGATATTCTCTCCCACCACCTCCGCCCACCCTTTCTCACCATCAGGAAAGAGAATGAAGGTGTTAGGGCTGTGTTCCTTCCCTCAAGCTAGATGGAGTGTTGTACAGTGCCACTTCTACCACACATACAGTGTCCTGTCCTGGTGTCCTGTCTTGCAGCCTCTATTCCTTAGTTCTCTGACCTGGCACCAGTCGTTCAGAGCTTTGCAGCCCTGATGCTACAACGTTGTCTACCCTGGCTCTAGGCTCTGCTGATGTAACAAGATTTTTTGACCTCATTTCTAAACTCTGCTGGTGCAACAAAATTGTCTACCCTGACACCCCCAATACCAGCAGTTAAGGCATTAGCCATGCTGGTGCTACAGGGTTGTGGCTCCTGATAGACCTCTACTCCTAAACCAATCTGCCTGGCTGCCTGCTGCAGCTGGGTAATTTCTGCAGTCTTGGAGCTGTGATTTCACAGCCCTGGAAAGAGGGAGGGAGCACTATGCTATGGGCTGGGTTATGTTGTAAATCTAGTTATTTCCTTGGATCTGCTAACTATAGTCTTGCTGCTGATAGCATGAGAGACGGGGAGAGGTTGTGCTGAGGGAGTTTCAGTGTCATTTTTTTAAACTTTCTTTTGGATTCTTGATATTCTAGACAAAGGAGAAAGCTGGAGTTGCTTTACTTTTAATGTATAATTTCTATATTGGAAAGATTTAAGAGGTTATGAGGATCAAAGAAAATGTCTAGTCCACCTTATTGCTCACATGACATTTTTTTATACTCTTATAAAGCAGGAGCCCTTTATCTGGGGTCCATATTTTTAAAAAAATAATTATTTTAACATCATTATTTCCTTTTTGATCCTATTTATTTTATTTCATATATTAAATTAGGATTCTAAACAGTGGTCCACTTCCCTAAATTTCCAAAAGGGCTCATGATGTGAAAATGTTAGGAGCTCATGTTTTTGTCTACCATAGTGGATTATACATATACATACATATGTATGTATACACACACACACATATAAACATACATGTATATACACATATATCAATAAATTCTCCTCCCCCCATTCCCTACTGAAACAAAATATTTTATTATATTTATTTAAATAAGATGAAAAGAAAGGAAAGATCCCTTAAAAATAGGATCTTTGAGGATTTATTGTCCAAGAAAGGGGAATTTCTTTACAGGAATCCCCACTGCTTCTCTGAGACTTCTGCTGTTTTTTAAAAATCTTTTTTTTTTTTTGCCATTTGCTGTCTAATACATCATCTTATGTTTGTTGAGACAATGTGATATCATGGAAACAGCACTGGTCCTAGACTAGCCATACCTGAGTTTGAAACCTAATTGTGGCACTTACTAGCTGTTTCTTCAGTTTCTTCAGCTTAAATTCAAATGATAGTGCTAATGTAATTAGAGCCCCCAAACCATGTATGGGACTCTCTCCTCATTGGTGGAGATCTATGTCTTGCACCTGTATGAGGTGTAGGTGGAGTTAATAAGAGCAGGCTTGTTGAGTTTTTCTAGACTCATAGTCCCGAGAGAAAAGATACATGGAATCCTAATCTCTCTTTATGTCTATTAAGGGAGAAAAAGACTCTCTTCAAACTGGATCAGATTTCAGAAAGAGACTAGATTTCTCTTTTCCACTCTCACCAACACTGTCCAACTCTCAGGCAGGTGCAGGGCATTAAAAAACCAACATGTAGAGAAGTTGGCAACCTCTATCCTGTCAGTTCCTTCCTAGAATCTTTTTATTTCGTTATGGACCCCAAGAAGAGGTTGGAATCCACAGAACATTTCTCTCAAGGCTGGAGGCCATAAGAACCCAAAGAGCCCGAAGAGACCAGATCTCTCTTCTCCCAGCTCTCACCAACTTAGCTTACTCTTCACACAGGTGTGGGACATTATTCTCCACAAATGAGAAGAGATTCTTGTAATAATGGGCTTTGGGACTTGGGTTACATCTGTATGATCTGGGAAACAGACTGGAGTCATAGAAAGAGTTTAAACTTGAAATCAGAAGAGATATATTTGGAATCCCATTTCTAATACTTATTAAATTGTGTGACTACAGGCAAAAGACAACTTCTTCAAGGCTCAAATTCATTTAGAAAATAGTAATAAAAATACCTATACTGCCTTCTTCACAGGGTTATTGTGAAAAACATATGAAATAATTTATAAAAACACAGTTGCAAATCATAAAGAACTCTATAAATACCAGAGAAGATTACTAAAGTGCTCTATAAAGTTGAGTTATTATTCCCCATGTGTGGTCATGGTACTAAATCCTCATTTTAGGGATGATAAAATTGAAATCAGGCAGCTAGGTGGTCCAGTGAATAGAGCATTAGGCCTGCAGTAGGGAAAACTCGTCTTCTTGAGTTCAAATCTGGCCTCCAAAATGTACTAGTTGTATGACCCTGTAGAAGTCATTTAACCCTGTTTGCTTCAGTTTCCTCATTTGTAAAATGAACTGGAGAAGGAAAAGGCTTTGTTCCAGTTACTATACCAAGAAAACCCCAAATGGAGTCACAAACAGTCGGACACCACTGACATGACTGAACAACAACAACAAAACTGAAATCCCAAGAGACTGGCACACTAGTTATAACTAGTTAACTACTTAGAGTTATGACCAAGAACCAAATTTAAATGTCTCGATGATTAGCCCAGGTTTTTTTTTGTTTTTATTTCTTCTCTACCTCCCCCAGCAGTTCAAACTACCATTCCATTTCCCATTCACCAGGAACAAAATTCTGCTTGAAAATTCATTTTTTTTTCACTAGCCTCAGCAGAGGGAGAGGGAACACCCACACATATTACTTTCTTTTGACTTACATAATTATTTTTCTGCTCTGCTATAATTCCAATGAAGCCATGCATAGCATTAAACCAACTGTGCATTTAAAGGCCAGTATTAGATGGAAGTAGACAAACAGCTAATGTTTGTGATATTAATTAGGAAATATCTGTCACCCACAATGTGCTACAGCAGTGTTAACCCTGGAAGGAAAAAGATTCCTTTTCTTATGGAA